ATGTGGGAAACAGTTGTAAGATCAGTGTAAAAATGTTATTTTAACAATCATAGATATAATAAAAGCAAGAAATAAATAACATTATTTTACTTTCACATGTAATTGCTACTTCATACTTAATATACTTTAAGTTCCTCATAATTATAATGGTGAATAAGTTCACAATTTAGTGAGCCTTATCATTAATCATTAAATTGTGAACTTATTAAATGTAACTATTACATAAATAAAAAATATAGCTACATTAATAGATTTGCATATATACATCATATAGGTATATACCGAATGTATCGGAACAAGAATTATAGATGTCGCTAGCCCGCGTTGTTGACCAAAATAATATGCGAGATGGCTCTCTATTTCAGTAGTATTACTTTACTCTATGTAATAAACACTCCACGATCCAACTCGATCAATCGCAGTTACCCAAAACTTAAGGTTAAGTAAAGATGGCGCCTCGACCCCACTCGGGGCATGTTCTGTTCTGATTGGTCGTTACGTGTATTTATTTATTTCATTACTAAGGTTTTAGGTTAATGTAAAAATGCAACAAATTAAATTTAATTTAGTTATTAAAAGATAAACACATAATAGTATTCATTATACACGCAAACATCCCGACACATAGGTTCCCCGGGCATAATTGTACATTAATGGTAGTTTTGTAAAATTATGACTTAACAGTTCTTTCTAGCAAACGAAAAATACCTTTGTCTCAACATTGTATATATTTTTTTCAAAATTTTAATGCTTTAGGAATAAAACTGGTGGTGTTAATGGAATAAGTAACAATTTTTTTTCAAATTTATTTAATAACTTGATTTCACATATAGTAGTAGTACATTAGTATTAAACTTCAATGTATATTTTAAAACTCGATATGCAATCTTAAAGAACATACAGACATCTACATCACTACTAATATTACCATGAAGTAATTATATGATATTTGTGCTACAAATGTACATCAATAACAACGAACATTAACGTAACTAGTAATGAATTCTAATTTGAAATAAGGTGTACATTAATTTTATTTCAATACCCAACACTTACAACAGATTTAATTTTTACAATAGCGAGCGATAAATTAAAGTTAGAAATAAAGAGAATCGAAACTATTTAACACAGCCATCGAAATAAATTCTTGTATTTAAGTCGTTACACGAAAATCAAAAACTTTTAACCATTGGATATAGAAATGACAAAATACAATCTTAAAAATAAATATAAGGAGTTAGATTGACTTAAGACGAAAGACAATAAAATACAGCGGAAGCCCCTTCTATAAATCCGTAGATTTATTATACAGTTTTAAATCAGTCATATTATTAGCAACATGTTTTACGTCCCAAGGAGTAATTCTCATGTTCATACTTGCTTAGCGGTTAAAATCGATTATGTAATACTTTAGATATTTATTACTAATTTAAAAAATAAAGCTACATCGAAATTATTTATACGCCATGCACCAGTGAATAGCAATGTTATAAATAATTCTAAATTACCATAAAGAATTCATAGTGCGCTGAAAAATTAACCCCATAGCACGAACAGCGTTGTTCCTTAGGTCGAAATGTATTCACAGATGTAATTGTTACGAAAATAGAAATTTTATTTGGAATCGATAAACATTTAAAGGTTAAAATACGTACGCGGCACGCTTTTAACATCTAATATTTATCATAACGATAATACTAGTTAATGAGTGTCCTTTTTGGGAGGAAGGTCTCCGAAGTATGCAAAGACAAAAAATAATTTATACAATAATTTATTTGTATAAATTGGACGATTAATTTATCAGACTTAAGTGTGAAGTAGATTTATAAACCGTATAAAACAACGTAAACTCGAAAGCACCTCGTATGTATTTACACCCCACAAAAATAAAAGCTTAGTTCGATACTCGTAGTATAATCATAAATATGGAACAAGATCAGATAAAACTAGTTTATGCTACACCTGCGAGTTCTATGGTTGGACACAGTAAACAAGTTATTTTAAATGCGTTAAAAACAAAATGCAATGCTTATCAAATATATCACGTGGGGCTGTGGATGCGAATGAAACATAGAAATGACGTTCAAAGTACATATATAAAGATCTTAGTTATAAAATTTACCATAACGGCCACGTTGAAGTTGGTGGGGCAGAGTTGAGTAGCCTTTCAACAAGTCAAAATAAAAACTATAATCAGTTAATAATATATTAATAAAAACTCCATCCTTTCTAGTTTCTAGTTTTAATACTTCAAGATCTTACAAATGAACTGATATATTTAAAAATCACGAAAAAGGAATATTACATACTACAATACTTCGTACAGAAAATCCATAATTGATAGTAAGCAAGTATAATTTCCTTACATAGTAAAATTTCGTATAGGCATTCATCGATAAAATGCAGTCGTTGATATTCCTGTAGACACCAGTAATAGTTTAAACGTCTCAAACTATTTATCAATGGAACTTTGTATAAGTGTTAGAAGGTCTAAAATATTAAATAATTTTAAAACTATATTAACTCTAAAATGTAATATTAGAAGTATTACGTAGTCAAAAGCGATCAAGTGAAAATAGTTAATTTTACCCTATATAACATTTATATGCGTATGAGACTCGTTTTGAAATGGCAAAATTATGTCAAAAATGTATAATAGGGAGTGAGATCGACATGTCAAGAATGTCCCATATAAGACAAATAATAGTTGTAACCCTCTGCTTGTCCGTAATAAGCTCTGATTATCCTTAAATTTTTAGCGTTCTCCTCTTTAGAGTGAATCCAAACAAACGAATTTTAGTCAGCATTAGATAATAATTTCGACTGCAACTCGGAGTTGCCATTTCTTTTCCAATATATTCCTAATAAGTCTTAGATATTACGATCGATTCTATCGCTCTATATTACATTTCAAAATAAACAATAACCCGTTACAAAACTATAATATATTGTGTTTATTTATATTTGTTTACTTGTATCCAATCTTAACAATAGTAATGAAGCTAAATTGACTGAAATAAATTGAAAAATAAAGCCTAATAAATTAAAGTAATATATTTTTATATCTAAAGTAATATATCATAATTATGTTGTACTAACATATTTATAGACGTCTTTAAAGTTAAATTTAGTTAAATAATCTGTGCAGATTCAAAATAAATAATTTAATTAAACGCGTCTTTACTAAACATTTCTAGATCTATACAATTCTAGATCCTATCAACAATAAATACTGTAAAGTTTTATGAGTCTGGAATAGGGGGCTAGCACAACTGTGGTAGGGCCAGGTAACAGTCTTCACTGTTGCACGAATGGACAAGTCCGTCCGGGTAAGTAACCACGACCCCACAGAAGACTGACGTAAAGTAGAAGTATTACATTTCTGCGTTTCATCTGGTGAGTGAGGTATCCAGGCCCCACTTTATTTAAAGGTGGCAACGCATTTGCAACCCTACCGCAGTTGTAAATGTGCATGGGCGGCGGTTAGCCCTTAACATTAGGTGGACCGCCAACTCGTACGCCACCTTCTTACATGAAATAAAATAACAATCATGTCAAATCAATTCCAAACTTAAAAAAAAAAATTAACGGTAGTAGAGGTTGTCAACACATCTGGAACCCTAGGCGCTAGGGTGTAGCAAATGTCTAGCGGTGGTATTCACTTAACATCAGGTGAACCATCTCCTAGTTTGGCAACTTATCACATAAAAAAATACATCTATTTTTATTCAACGAAGATAGTTGGAACCTTTCCACGCACCAATGGATTCATCAAAAGATCGTTATCCATTAGTACATATACTTATCTAGAACGTCCACTGTACTCTGCTAATAAAGGCCCAACAAACAGAAACTGTTTTTCATTATTTATATGCATCATGCAGATGCAACACCTATACGTTGTCGTGATTGAGCTATCGTGGCAAAGATATTACAAAGCAAGAGTGTAAGCAAACCAAGGGTGTAAATACAGCAAAACATTTACCCCAGCTCTAATGCTTTACACTTAAGCAACTCATCCCTTGATATTGTACAAACACTGAAAATATATCTGTACAATTTGAGCGTCATTCATGAGAGTCTGTCAGTACAGTTATTGTAACAACAAATAAAACATCTTAATTTATAAAAATGCACAATAATAGAAGAAGGTAGCGTAAAACACAATGCTCCAATGCTTCGTGCATTTAATTTTCTTTTAATGCCCTTAATTTTTTTTTCATCACTTAAAAACTACTATGTATCTAACTAACTACTATGTAACTACTATGTAAAACTACTATGTAACTACACTACTCCTGCAGAAGTCAAAACGCACACTCCCATTCACGCCTAACTAAATGGCCGCGAAAGTTAACAGTTCCACAAAGACATCCCCCACCCCGCACCCCCGCCATGATAAACACAAGCCGAGGGGGAAGCGTGGGCGTGCAATCGAAATGTGTAAGTTGTGTGTAAAATTTTGTTGTGTGTGAATCTTTTAAATCACGTAAAATTATTGCCAGAAGCAACACGAGGGATAATAGTTACCAGGTAGCAAAGTTGCAACATAACCAATGTCAAGCGAATTGAAAACAAAGTGATGCAGATGAAATTTCTGACGTATGTAATAAAAAATTTTAATGAAGTAATATTTTTTATCGGGCTAGGTTGGGGAATTGGAAAACAAAGTGCAAGTTCTGTTTGGTAAGGTTTGTGTTGTGTAAATCTATAAAATGCGCAAAATAAACGGCAGAATTTAAAGTAATCGGAAGCCAGCAAAGTTTTATTGTATTCTGTCAAAGAGTAGAGGTGTGGGGGAGGGGCGTCGTGGGGGGTATGGTTTCGCCTTTGTTGATTTTCGCAGACAGTTAAGTAATTTATACAATTCTGGTTCCATAATAATTAATATATACAATCCTAGGTCCATTATATTTAGTTTATACTGTCTAAAGAAAAACTACCTAACACGATGTCAAACAATTGAAACAAAAAAGCACTTGACACATCCGACGGTTGGGATGGGAGTGGGGGAGTGGAGGAAGAAGTGGGGGGAGACGTGGAGGAAGAAGAGGGGGAGACGTGGAGTAAGAAGTGGGAGGGGGAGAGACGTGGAGGAAGAAGTGGGTGGGGTGGAGGTCGGTCCGTGCCAAGGGCTACGCCGCGGCGACTGCCTAGTCGCTGTCGCTGGACAGCATCTGCTCGTCAGTCTCGTTGCAGGGGCTGAGGCCCTGTACGTGCACGTACCCGGGGCCGTACAGGCACAGGCGTATTAATTGTCATGTGTCCTCACGCCGGACGTTCAGGATGTCCGCCCTGCAGAGCGGGCACTCCTTCAGTTGTGCGGTGCAAACGGCGCAAAAGCCGCTGGTTCCGGAAAGACGAAAAAAAACGCTCACTGTTAGATATAAAATAATTACTAGCATAAACCTAAGTCGCAGAGGCGCCTACGCGGTGATCTTGTTACTATTAACGTTTAATTCGGCGCGTGCGTGCCGAAGTTTCTCAACGGCTAGCTATGATTTAGCAGTTATAATTAGTTGTTGTTGCAAGGTGTATGGGGAGACCATTCTGTGAAACTTTTGCCGTTGCTTCAACATTTTCTTCCCGTTGACGCGAGCCTTTCTAGGTGTTTCTGTTTTGGTTTTAAGTAACAGCTGTTAAGAGCAGAAGGGCCCACGCAGAAGACGAAATATGCGTGCCAAATAGTGTCGAAAGGTGTCGATCAACATCATACCCAAAATGACATAATGATAAGAGATCACCATACTTAGCAAGCAGAGTATGTCGATAACGAAGTGGTGGAAGCATCTGTTCATATCTCAAAGCTGCAGGCTGAGAAAGTGATGGCAGTCTTTCTCCTGATGTCACCAGCCAGGGTACTGTGACAGTTGTTAATTCAAGTCGAAGCCTTTTGTGCCGAGTTAACTTGGGATATATGAGGAGTTGAAGAGTCGATCTCGGTCAATAGACATCTTGACACATCTGACATTGGAGACATAATCCAAATCCAGGGTAGATAGTTTGTATTATCATTGTTTTCGAATGTATGTCAACCCAAAAATCGACAAAGACACCAGTCGTAGCGTAGAAAGATTGTTTAAAAGGATCTTGGACATCATGTTCAAAAGAAAACCGATAGATGGCCTTGTTTAACACCGCGTTGAACATTGATTTTATTATTGCGTTATAATAATGTTCAATCGGAGAGAAGACTTGAAGGAAGTTAAAACCCAATAGATAGCACCTTGGATTATGAAGACTAGGCACTCCCAATTTTCCAGGCACCTTCGAAGCAATAATGAAAATATATTCCCAGAATTTGCTCCGCGGAATAACATCTGCTCCATAGATGATGACATAGACGAACTTTCTGTCAAGTAATCCTCTATTGCAGCTACTGCGAGTCTAAAAACAGAGTGTCAAAGATGACCAGCCAATGCTAAGTTATTTTGGATTATTCAATTAAAAATTCATGAGTCTTTTCGCCAACTGAATATTTTCAAAGTCAACTTGTTTTTATGACAAAGAAAAAACTTTTTATTGTGATGATTTACGCGATTAGTTTCTTTTTTTTTATTTATATATATATTATGTTTTATAATGCAACAAAATAATAAGAATACTTTTAATTTTTAAGCTCATTCCGTTTTTACAATAATTGGATTGAGTTAAATAAATGTAAATTAGTAGCATAGAGCACACTTATCAGAAAAGCGTAAGGCTCCTAAGCTTAAGTGATATTTTATATATTTTCATATTGGTATCTTTTTTGGATTAGTAGAATGATAAATAGTTTTGTCTTTATCGTAGGAATTCAATATATCGTAGAGTTTTTTCCCTTCTACAACAATTTTTTTTGTCTACTGAGACCCACTTTTAAAAGAAAGCAAAAAGCAGTGTTACCACTTAACATCATGTGAACATCCAGCTAACACAAACAAAAAATAACCTAGAAAGAAACAACTGGAAACGTATCTTGTGCTTATCGTACATATTAACGGTGGTAGGGCCACGCAACAGTGTTGCACGAATGGTCAGGTCCGTCCGGGATAGTACCACGACCTCACAGAAGACCGGTGTAAAGTAGAAGTGTTGCACTTCTGCGTTTCTTCTGGTGAGAGGGTAGCCGGGGCCCGCATTATTAAGAGGTGGCAACGCATCTGCAACCCTACGGGTTTTGCAAATGCCCAAGCGCAGGCGGTTATCACTTAACATCAGGTGAACCGCCAGCTCGTTTGCAAGTGGCAAACGAGCTGGCCTCACATGACATAACATGCCGGGGGATTTTCCGCTTTTTCAAGGGGTTACTGGATGCGAGATCTCTTTAGGTGGTGATCATCAGCCCTGTAGTCTCGGGCTCGCATAATATGACTAAGGTATTGCCCCTGCCTGTCGTAAAGGGGACTAAAAGGGGCCATGGACTGGCAGCAGCACAAAGGTCTCTAGCTGCTGCAGATGCCGAAGGAATCGGGGAAGGTTTATCCTTTTACGAGGCGTGCTCACGCTCAGTACCGAGGGCCACCGGTGCGTTTCATAGGAGACCGAGGGGCTTTTATTAGGTAAGATCCACACATTACCCTGTCATGTAAGGTGAGAGGTTATCTTTTGAAGATTTCCCCGCTGATAGCAAAAGAGAAAAATCCTGGTGACCATAAGGCAACTCCATTGAGGCATAAGCTTTTCCTATTTACTTCTGCCGTGATCCCCCAAGGAGATCGAGTAATGGGGCAATGTGTTGATGTAAATACCCGTGGCCGCACGGCTCCAGCACGCAGCAGGCTGTGTCGTCGTAGCACAGCGTGCAGGCGTTCTCATCGATGCTCGAGGACCGCAGCTGCTCCAAGAACAGTCTCCTCGGAATGATCTGCATCCATAAAAGATGAGAAATTCAATAACAAATTAATAAATTCAAAGCGACAGATATATTATTAAGCAAGTTCGTTACAGACGAGGCGATTTTGACTCGCCGGGACCTCTGCTGAAAAGTAAGCTGACTGCGGCCGTCATTGCCGGTTTTATGGCAAATCAGATTATACTGATTGAACATATATTTAGCTACCATTCAATTATCTTTGGGTTTATTATTTTCTGGTTTAAGTTAGTTTTATTATTGCACCTGCTTTTAGATTTCACAACACCATAGGTTGACTGGCAGAGAATGCCTAAAGGCATTAAATCCGCCTACGCGTATTTTACCCCTATTCCCTTTAGTTCGGAACAAAATTCCGAATTAATTCCCTTTTTATTTATATTAATAATGATATTTATGCTATTGTTCATAAATATTTCAATTGCATTTAATTCGGAATAAAATTCAGAATTAAAGGAAATGCAATTTTTTATACATTTAATAAATTTAAAAAATCATGCATTATTATGTGATGATGTATTAGGGACTGGTTATGATAGAGAAACAATATGACATTAGTATTTTTATTAAGTTGGCATGCAGAGAAAGGACAGTTAAGTATATTTTATATCTGCAATGTTATTTCAAACACAAAATTAATATCCATCAAAGCTGTTATTGAATTGTGATAGTTGAATTTATTACTATTAGTGTGGTAGGTGTACTGTGCACGAATGAGCAAGTCCGCCCGGAAACGTATCCAGACCTCACAGACGACCGGCATGAATTAGAAGTAAGGCAAAGTAGCCGTGGCCCGCATCATTAAAGGGCGGCAACGCATCTACAACTCTATGGGTTTTGCAAATGTCCATGTGCGGCGGTTACCACTTATCATTAAGTGAACGCACTTAAATAAATAATGAAACTCGAATGAAACATGAATTTGTACAAAACACCAGCTGGGGCTCGACTCATGTTTTCCTTTTTACTTTAATAATCTTTTTCTCTCCAGTAGGTGGTACTGTTCGAAAATAAATCGTATTGCAAATAAATAAATCGTGATTTCTGAAAATATTAAATCGTAAATTCAAAATATAATGATTTCGCTAAATTTAAGTGTAAATAAGAACTGGACATTAAAAGATGTACAAATGATCATATTATGTAAGGATTAATTCGTTAGTCTCTAAATCAGCTACTATTATGTGACAGGAGTAAACATTGTTAAACATACTTTTTTGAAATAAATAAATATTATAAAAATCATATTATCCGCGTACTAGAAAAAGACTATGCTCATCACACAACATTTTTCCAGTAGTGGGGATCGAACCCTCAAGCGCCGAGATGTTCACTGTCCGTTGCACCAACCAGATCCTCGTGATAACGAAGATGCTGCCGGTAATAATGATGGCGACTTATACCGGGAGAGAAGGTGGCATAACGGCAGTCGCCCTCCTCGCAAACTGGTGCTTGGTACCACGGTAAGAGGTGCTTGGTACCGCGGGTGCGACTGTGCCGCCGATGAGGGTGATGATGGATGGTATGATTTCAAACTTCGGCGTGCCTTCTTCTGCTCTGCCGAGAGGTAGGCGTGCTCGTTGAAGCTGAAGTAGGCGCGGTCCGTCGGCGGGAACTTGAACGGCTCGTGGCCGAAGTTGAACCGGCACTGCTGGAACGCCATGAAGCTCGCGGCCGCGAAGAACCCGTAGCTGGTGGGGGCGAACGCGTAGTTAATAAACAGTTAATTAACAGTTGTGCTGACAGCGATGGAACACTTTGTTAACTATCAACGATTACGTTGCTTAATGTGGCGGAAATGTTCGACGGGGAATGTTTTACACGCTCCTCTGGTCCCACGATCTCCTGCCGTGGCCGTACTGAACTAATGAGCGGAGCGTGTGATCAAACTGTCATTTTTTAAATTAAAAAACTTTGCTCTCGCTTTAGGATAACATTATCCAGTGTTGTAAGGACGTTTTACAAACATAAATTTCACACGGACAAAGACCCAGATGCGAAACAACTATCAGTGGGTCACACAAATAGTTGTGGGAATCGAACTCACGACCCCCGGCGCCGAAGCCGATACCTTGGCGACTGCGCCACGGAGTCATTATGAACCAGCTTTCTACTCGTAGTATATAATTTATTTTATGTGAAAAATTGCCAAACGAGCAGACGGTTCACCTGATGTTAAATGAATACCGCCGCCCATGGACATCTGCTACACCCGAGGGTTGGACAAAATTGGACTCCGGCCACCTCACTCACCAGACGACACGCGAAAGTATTATACTTCCACTTTACGCCGGTCTTCTGTGAGGTCGTGGTATGGTAAATACGGACGAGCCTGCCCATTCGTGCAACAGCCGAGGCTGCTGCTTGGCCCTACCACCGTATTATTCTAACAAATATGCTGTATAATAGCACGGGTAGTATCAGTACAGGAACAATTGGTTGAAACAGTTAATTTTGAATTTCCAAGGTCTCGAACATCCTGAAAAACTGTAACAATAAAAGAAGTCGATGCAAAGTTGATATCCCCAGCTTTCTATTTGTTATCTGTATGAATTCAAAGGCAGTTCGTTTGAAATGATGCTACATCAGTCGTTTCCAGTTAGGGATCGTCTCAATATCTCAGAATGAGGGCAGGGCCCCGAAACAGTGTCCGTTGCGAGACCATCGCCGACATCTCACCGGGCAGTCTCGAACAGCTCCCTGCACGGATGCAGCGTGGCGCCGTTCAGCGAAAAGACCACCTCCCTCTTGTTGAGGTCGATGAGGCAGCCCAGCACGTCCCCCGGCTGCCACGGCGGCATCTCCTCCACGGGCGACGGCCTCGCCTTGTGCCATATCAGCCTCCTGCACCCGTCGTACGACAGGGAGAACAGATCGTCCCCAATACCGTAGCCCTCCTGCTGGAACGTCCAACGGTTACATTCGAATGTATTGCGCGGACAAGGTCTCCCAACGATGCGCGGCGATCTTGCCGCACAGCAATTACGACTCGCGTAGACTCACTGACAGTCCATCGGCGCCTTTGTTAGTGTTGATCCTCGCGGGATGGATCGTTAGAACATGTAAAGCGAGCAATTTATGTCTTTGGTGATTTTTATTTGCGTGTTAACAAAAATACCCGGGTTGTTCCGAAAGTTTTAGTGTATGTTATTACTTATTATGAAAGATTTCCATGTAAACCTTATAAGTGTAATACTTCTGACAACTCTGGTCAACCTTTGGTTTTCATAAACGAATGTCACTATAAAACATTTTATGCGACGTGATCCTCTACTATTATAAACGTGAGCCTTAGAACTTTCACGGAATGTTAAGAAATATGTAAGCTGCTCTAGAGTAGTCTTCTCTATAGTTGGCCATCGGCCCATTATGTACAACAAATCAGCATGAAGCCATAATGGTGATAACGAACACCATCCCAACCGACCGTGAGGACATAAGCTTTGAATTGACCTTCGCAAACACTCACTGAGAGATTCAGATTAAGTTATGAAAGGATGGCGGGCTGACGAAAAACGCTATAACTCGCGTTTTTCGTCAGAGTAACATTGCAAAATGCAGAACCTACTGAGACACCCCCCCCCCCCCCCCCTCTCTTAGATTGGAGTAAATAAATGACTGGCTTTGTATCATCGTGTGACCTAAATAACTCTGGGATATAGTAGAATAATTAATATTTTGCGGCATTGCTATTTTATGAGGCCAGTTTTTAGAGGGGCATATCAATCAACAGACGTAGATACCGCTCAAATGGTTGCTTAAATAGTGGACTTTTTATCCATCAAATGTAACTAAAGGGACCGCAATTGTAGGTCCTAATTTTGGGTCCGTGAAAACATGTAAATCTTTGATGAGAACGACGATGAATTGGCAATCGTCGTCTACTATACGATTTTCTTTTTAAATGACTTGATATCTAGTTATAAAATCAAAGAATTAATGTGTGAGAAACACGGGGACATTTTTATTTCTTACCAAAACTTTTGGAACACTCCATGTAAGAAACAACCCACTAGACTTTTTAGTGGTAGGAGTAGTGATAATAATGAAAATTTTATACGTGACTCACTCCCAATGGTCTGTTTCTACTGAAACGGACGTTGCGATCCCACTGAAACAAGATTATTAAAATGCATCCACTAAAAATTGGGTGGCAACACAATATGTTCAGTCCTTTTAAATGTAAACTCATCGTATTAATGCTGTTAAAGTTTTTTTTGTTTGACGGTGGCAAGCAAGCTGGCGTTTCACCTGATGTTATGTGATAACCGCCGCCCATTACCATTTGCAACCCAAACAGAGGTTACAGATGCCTTCCCACCATTTAATAAAGTGCGCGTTACGTAGTAACGTCAATGTTACTTATTATATATTAGTACACACTATTGCGCGTTCTTATGAAACGTCAACATTTTACATAAAAATTAATATATAAATCTGTTGAGAAGAAACTGGCAAGAAACTCAACAGTTGCTCTTCATTCATAAAAACAACGGCAAATGTCAAATGAAATTATTAATCACTTCTCTTTTATTTCCCCGTTCTTTTGCACGATTCAATTCCCTGACAGTCTAATTATATAAATTTCAATAGTTATGAGCAAACGTATCTCATCTCCTTTGTGACCATTATTATTATGACGTTGATGATTGCGTGATCAGACAAAACGACAGTTGGTGCATTAAGGTAATCATTCAATTATAATGTTGAGAGCTGTTAGCGCGCGAGGGCAGACGCGTGAAGGGCGTAGGTAGGGGGTCGGAAGTATCGCTTCAAGTATACGTACATGGTTCAGGAAGTGGCTATTCTTGGTGGCCCAGCCGATCTGCATGACCCCCGGCGTGATAATGCTGGCCTCGTAGTACCAGCAGCCTTGGTCCACCCGGTGCGTGGCGCGGACGCTCTCGAAGGAGTACGAGTCGCAGCGGGCCTCCAGGCCGCTGCTGCATATCTTCAGGTACTCGCTCACGTCTTGGCAGTTGAGGATCACGTTTATGTCGGACATGTCCGTGCGCTCGTACGACAGCTTGCGCCCTTCGACGATGACTGGCCCAAAAGTATACACCCTTAGTCTTTGTGGCAGCTTAAAGTCACGAAACGGCACGAAGTCATCCTACGGGTGAAATGTCGCGTCCGTGTTTGCAATCCTGCGTTGCGTTCGGTGCTGAACTAGTTATGTATAGAACCACCTACGTCGGTACGCGCATAGTTGCTTTGCTGATAACATTGCAAGCTAATGAAACAGTGCGTGAACACGGCTACTGCTAAAATAACTATTTGGATTAACACATTTGTGCTAAGTTAAAGATATGGCAAAGTACTCATTCGCATTGAATAAAGGCTTTTACAATAATGGAATTCATAGATTTAACCAGTGTCTTTAAATATTGCGCTTATCGTAGTATGTAGTTACTTCTCGTACAATATTCTCCAATGTTGTAAAAACGTTTAACGTAAACGTATTGCACCTTGCACCCGTATTACACCCAGACCCAGAACAATTCCAGAACAGAGTCGAATCCACAACAGGTGAGCTGTGCCAACCATCGAAAGTATTTCAGCGAACATTTCGTTAGTACAACTAATCTCGATATCGATTCGCTGATTACTAATATAATAAGGATTCGGCCTTCAATATACATACATACTTACATATCAGTCCCGCGATAAATACAAAAATAATACAAGTAATCATCATCATCATCATCTTCCTGGTCTTATTCCACCTAGGTGAGGTTGTCACAACCACGTGGATCATGTTTTAAGTGGTTTAGTCATGGCTTTTCATGACCGGTCGCCAGCGTGACGTCAACCCCCTCTTGGAGAATTTGTGTTTATTACACCCAGATGGGGAACAGTTGTCAGTCGGTCACACAAATACTTGTGTAGTGTGGGAATCGAACCCACTACCCAAAACAACGAAGCAAATACAATAGCTAAGCACAGAGTTCCCTGAGCGAGCAATCGTCCCTGCTAACTGACAATAGCAGTTTAGAAACTTCTATCCATCGTTGGAAATATTCCTCAAAGGCATATAAGTGTCTGTGGTGCTTAAAAAAACGGGTACATGTGACGAGACGAGTGACGCAGCGCTGAAAGGGATAAATCCCAGAATTATTCCGTGGTGAATAAAAATTTCCACGGTGAAATCTCCCAGTATGCTAATGCTTGTATTTCGTGCTGCGCAGGTAGACAGCGGTGCATAACATTACCATGGAAAACTGCTGATGTTACATGCATAAACTGTGTCAGACCTATATCGATTTACGTAGCCTATAAATATTTTGTATACCTATATGTAATATGGCCGATTTTTGCCTCGTGTATTGATATATAATGATATAACATACATTCGTGTCTAAAAGTACATACGTTTCGTGTCAATTTATTTTCATCGCTCTCTACTCATTGACCAAGCTAGTAAAACAATTATGCAATCCAATTTCATATTGCGATGACGATGCGCGATAAGCATTCAATTTCGGATGCAATATTTCAGCAAGTCTAATTTCGTGCTGACGATTCTATTAATAGGAGAATACTTTAGATAAATACCAATCCATTTTCAACTAGAGCCACACTTTTGTTTGTCCCTGAAGTAAAATGGTGGATTTGTCGACGAGAACGCAGACACTCATCCATCAAACTGTTAAAATCAGTAAAAATCTCTAAATGTAGGCACGTTTATGTGCTGTAAAAAGAAGAAAATTTAACTTCTCTTGAGCACAAAATAGTTTCATTATTTGCCTTGACTGCATTCAAGAAACAAATATTATATTAATGTAACGGAATATAGTTTTTTTTTTTTTTTGAATATATTAACAGAGCTCATGAAGCATCTTCGAAACGCAAAATATTACTAAAAAAAAACAAATTACATTGTCTGCAACCAATTATAACAGAGAAAATTAAACTTAACGTAATTTTAGTTGAAACTACCGATCATGATTTTTTTTATTATGTTAGACGGTGGCGAACGAGCTGGCGGTTCGGTTCCCTGATGTTAAGTGATAAACGCCGCCCATTGATGTCAGGAACACCGGTGGCTTTGCAGATGCGTTGCCCTCTTATTCCCGATTCCTCACTCTTTAGGAGAAACGCAGAAGTATGTATGACACTTCCGCTTCAGACCCATCTTTTGTGAGATCAGGGCACTTAACAGAACGGACCTGCCCGTTCATGCAACAGTCGAAGCTGTTGCCTTAGCCCTAAATAACCAATCAATTTTTGCTCATGTGAAAAGTAGCCTAGCGAACAGGCGGTTCACCTGATGTTAAGTGAATACTGCCGTCTATGGACATCTGCTACACCCGAGGGTTGCAAATGCGTTAAAAACCTTTTGAAAATTGGGCTGCGGCTACCTCACTCACCAGACAGTAAAGCATTATTACTTCCACCTCACGCCGGTCTTTTGTGAATGGTACTTACCCGGCCGAGGCTGCTACGTGGCTCCCTAATATTATCCGTTAATGATGATCGCGATTAGACAATGAAAAATATGTGTTTTAAATATTACATACATTATAACTGACACATAAAATTAATGTACTCTAATAAAAAATGTAAATTAACTTGTCATTAAAATCCTTTTCGAATTGGTTCGATAACTACAGATATTAGCTATTAAATACAAACAAGTTGAATTTCTGTATGTTTTTTGATGTCAGAGTTAAAACTAGTTAAAAGAAAGCTTTAAGCAAAACAAACAGAATAATTTACGAAATATTTCCCCGAACATTACGATAATACGGCAAGTAGAGGTGACTTATTTTTATTAAATTTAATTTCATAAATGTGAGTGCAAAAGGTTACATCAATGTGTCGAATAACATTTCATTATACCACACATAAATTGAAACTAAAAACAACAAATTAAAATCAGAAATAGGAAAAATCAATGCGTAGGTCGCGGAAATACTAAATTTTTATGCATCAGAGAAATGTAAATAAATGATAATAATTTTGCTAAGTATGAATCCATTACAACCATTATAGACTATAACAATAAAGCGACGAAGTGACAACTAGCAATAGCAAGCGTACGAACCCATCTCTTGATATATGCGTATACGGTCGTTCAAATAAATAATTTAATAAAATACTGCGTGTAGACATTGATGTATACTTTACCGGCAATTCTCAACTCAAGAAGATATTCTCCAACAAATATTTTTCTACTTATATTATTGTGTTATTTAGCTTTTTACATTTAATTCGTTTATATTCGTAACTTTACTAATTATTTTTGTACTCTATACTTCTCTACCTATCTAACGTTTTACTCTAGTAATGTATCTATTTGCGAAAACTTGTAAAAGGCTGTCTCTTTTCAATTGATTTACACCTTAATCGTTGTGTTTTCCATGAATAAATAAAAAGATAATAAATACAATAAAATTTATACGCCTAACTCAATATTGGTACGGAGCGGGCTCAATATAATTTAAACTGATCATCAGTCAAATACTGAGCAGATGTAATGCGGACAGGAAAAGAAGTTGCGAGTTAACAAAGGCAATTGCAATCATATAAGATGAAACATCGCACCCTTTTGCACCGGACGACGATAATTTGCCTTTTAAATTATATAATGCAAGCCCGCGCGGGGCATCGTTGCGAACGCAGAAGCAAACATGTTGTTTGTTACCTATGTAACAAACACAGGGACAAATCAATATACGGACACGCGAAGCACAGTTTGCATTCGCGGTACGATAGTTTTTTTTTATTACAAGCTTTTATTTAGTTTCAGCTGTCCCGAGGTTTGTCATCAAATCTCGAAAATTGAATTTGATCCACTTCCCGGTTACCGATTGGGCTGAAAATTGCATGCATGTGTAAATCGAGTGACAATGCAATATTGTGATGACATGGTGCTGATCTGAATTAGGAGCTGGTACGTGGGGAAACGAATTTTGCAATGAAACGACAGAACCTCATCGAGTTTTGGCTCATTTTAATCTTCTTGACGAGTAGTTTTTTTTTCACTGTTAACTAGGGTGTGATGACGGAGCCGGAAGGTGGTCATAGCAGGTGGTCATATAACTTAGACTCTTTCGTTACAGAAACGACGCAACCCCAAGGAGATTCGGCTCGTTTGATTAGTCTTAATATTATCTCGTTTGATCGGTGGACGAGAATACGTGACGACGTGCGACCCCATATTTTGGAAATAAAGTTCGTGGGTTCGTTTGTAATGAATGTTACATTGCCAAGGTGAGCACGTGCCGAGGGTTGAATGGTATGAGAGTCTATAAACATATATCACTAACGTTGAGCCTCAGGTTACTAGGACGAAACCTGTTGTACCGAAGCCCTTATCCCTTACAATGAAGGATGGCTCTGGGAGAATGAACCCTTTTTGTCCAAAAGTCGTTGGTGTCGTTGGTGCAAGAACAACATGAACAAAATATAATACTAAAAAGTGAAAAATAAAATAAAAAGAAAAATCTTTTTATTAACAAGAACATAATAAAAGCTTGTTTTTAAAACTTTTTTCTTTGTATTTTTAAGTTCAAGGTGATGCAGTACTTTAAAAATACAAACTCAAGTTATGCACATGTCCGAGTGTTTCATTTGCCTGGTAAACATGTTTATAAGAACGAACGAAACGTTACTTAACATACGCGGTGGAAAAAGAATAGAGATATTTTCCAGGAGACATTTCCTGTGGTATATACTATAAATTAAGCGTACTCTTTCTTAAAAGGCCGGCAATGCATTTGTGAGCCCTCGGGTGTTGCAGGTGTTCATGGGCGGCGGTAATCACTTACCATCAGGTGAGCCTCCTGCTCGTTTGCCCCTTTTCTCCATAAAAAAAAAATTAAAGCAATAAGCGAGCACGTACTGGGCGCGGATGCGTCGTAACATCGCTCTGGCTCGCGTGATAAATACTTTGTTAAAGTAAACGATTTATTTTGTCTTTAAACCGTCCTAAACGTCCATTGTCGCGATTTTAGCTAATCAGTAAATGGAGCGTACATGATGATGATGCCCTACCATCAAAAATATCGGCCATACCATTATGTTTAGAAACGGAAAAAAAATCAGGTTGTAAAGGAGCCCCACTTATTTTTTTTTCTGTTTTTTACTCTTTGTTGTTATACCAACAACAGAAATTATTCATCTGTGAAACTTTCAACCGTCACGATTCATGAGATACAGCCTGGTGACAGACGGACGGTTTAACACTGCATGCACGAACGAGACGTCTTGCGCAGCATTACTAACTAAACGTCTCATCGTCACCGTGAACGTTCAAAGGGGAACAAAGAGGCGTGCTGTGTAATGGAGAAACTCACAGAGATTGTCGAGGGCCCATTTCGCGCAGAAGCCGACCTGGCGCCACATTTCGTCGTCGCAGTCCGCGTACGTCTCCAGTACCAGCAGCGGGTTCTCGGCCTCCTTCTCCAGCCGACTCTTGATGTTCAGCTTGTTCTCTGTCGTGTGCGCGAACTTCTCGAGGGCGATCAGCGCAAACAGAACGATGCACGGCTCGCGACGCGTTATCTGTCCGTGGCGAGTAAATTCCATTAGGGCAGGGGTTCCCAAAGTATTTTTCTACACGCCACCCTGCTGCTTAAAATAGAAATGCCCACGCCCCCCTTCACTTCGATGCAAGGAAGGGGAAATCAATGGGCTAGCTAAGTATCCCAAACGAACTAATAAAGTGAGTTTGTGTCGTTTTTTACACTGTCATTAACTACTCAACATTTCGGATGTATAGGATAGGACATAGGGTACCTTTTATTTTAAAAAAAGTATTGTTCCCGTAAGATAGAAATTGATTGACAAAATCTATATTAACGCAAGCGATGCCGCGGGAAAAGGCTAGTTTTAAAATTATAAAAAGGATAGTGAATAGTAAACAGTGGAAAAAAACATAATCAATTTTTTATTAATATTGTTATTACTGACAAGAAAAACAAAGAATTACATAATCGTCACAGTCAATGAGATGGATGGGCTTGCATATTTTTAACAATGTTTTCAATTCTGGGTTGAATAGAAGAGAGAGCACAACGTAAATCACTAGTGATAGCGAGTTTGTTTCTGTATTTGGTTTTTATGACCACTACTGCTGAAAATGCATTTTCGCATAAATAAGTACTCGAAAATGGTAAAAACAGTTTCTGTGATTCTTCTGCTATATTGGGATAAACTTTGAGATATTTTACCCAAAATAATGGCTTAGTCCATCTTCTCAAAATCATATTTGGCAGCTGAATCATTTTTACTTCTAAAGCTTGTTCTTGAAGTAGCCTTGGCAGCACGTCTATGTCAACGTTAAAAGGATCCGTCGCCAATCGATAAATATTGTCATCACACAAGTTTTTTTTTTTTTTTTTTTTTTTGGCTGGATGAGTCACTGTTGGCCTTAGGGGCCTTTACAGATCCGACGGACTTGAGGTGGCCTGGCGCACGAGGCGCCTAGCCTGAACCTCGGCGTACTATTATTACGCGTTATGGTGACTAAGCTCGAGGGCTCCCGAAGGAACCTCGGCTCGGGCCGTCACGCTATTATTATTACCGGTTTGGGAGGCCGCCAAGCTCTTAGGGCGCTTTGGCGGGCGCTCCATGGAGTGATCAGGCTCAAGGGTCCCCGAGAGGGGACCTCGGCTTGGGCTGTTTAGCATTCCGATTCGAGGGTGCCCGAGAGGGCCGGACCTCGGCTCGATCGGTAGCTATTATCTGACTGGGGGAATTACTAGAGCTAACATTACTACCACTTCGGAGAGCGTTGGCGCTGGGAGAAGAAGTGGCGGAAGAAACTCCAGCAACGCTTCTATCATTAATAGGGGAAAACCTGCCAGGTACGTGGCGGAACCTAGTATATGTTTGCCGCACTCGCCGGCGAGTGCGGTGTGTGTTGGTGTGTTTCTTGAGTTTTTTGATCCTTTCGATGGCGATAGTCGTCTCATCGTCAGGGAAGTCGAGAACGTGACGCGGTCTTCGGTAATCGCGGCGGAAAATATTTAGCGGCAAGGGCCTGTAGGTGACGGCACCTACGATAAGTGGATTGGGATGCGCGGCGGCGGAATCGAAATATCGGCGCGACGCCGACTTCAGGAATTGCGCGATGGTGGGCAATTCTAGATCGACATGTAGGTCGATATTGCGCATGAACCAGGGTGCTCCCGTGGCTCTGCGCAAGAATCGATTTTGAATCACCTGAAGCCGGTGTATTTGCTTCGGAGCAATGTGAGCGAAGACGGGGCTCGCGTACGTCATGATAGGGCGAACTACTGCCTTATATAAGGTCACCTTGTTCCGAAGGGACATTTTTGACGATTTATTGAGGAGCGGGTAGAGGCGACCGAGTACGAAGGCCGCCCGGTTCCTGACCTGGGTCACGTGCTGGGTGAATTTAAGCTGGGAGTCGAGGACGACGCCTAGATATTTGACTTTATTAACCCATGGTACTGGGCTGTCCAAGAGTTTAACGGGGGGTGGAATGGGTATGTTCTTTTTGTGCGCGAAAAGGACTGCCGCGCTTTTGGCGGGATTGATTTCGATCCTCCATTGCCGAAACCAGTCACCGATGGTGATGGCCGCAGCTTGGAGGCGTCGATGGATCAATTCGGGTGTTCTGCCTGTGGTATAGATACAGGTGTCGTCGGCAAAAAGAGCAAGTTCTACATCTTTGACACGCGGCATGTCATTGGTGTAGAGAGTGAACAAGACTGGTCCCAACACCGACCCTTGGGCACCCCGGCTCGAACGGGATGCGTAGTCGAACACACGCCCTCGACGCGATAGCGAAAGGTTCGATTACTTAGGAAGTCTCGTATTATGCATACGAGACGGTCGGACACTTCACACAAGTTTGGGAAGTAGCGCTTGAATTCATCACTGAGGTGCTGCAAGTGGTTGGATATTTCGGTCTTAGTGCCGGTTTCGCAAAAAACCTCCATAAACCATTTTACCTCTGTGATTGTATATAATTTAGGAAAGCACGAATAATTGCCTGCTAAAATCTTACGTTTCCACAATTGCAACTTCTCAGTAAGCGCTGTGATAGCATCTCGATGATTAATTATATTCGAATCTCCTCCTTGCAGTTTTAAGTTCAATGAGTTTAATGAATCGAACATATCCGTTAAATAAGCAAATACCACTTGTACCCGTGGCTTTCTGAATTATACAAATAATTCACTTTGTTTTTGATTATCCAAGAACTGAATAACTTCATCTCGAAGCTCATATAACCTAGTCAGCATATTTCCTTTTGAGAGCCAGCGCACCTCAGTATGAAATAACAGAGTCTTATGTTCTGTACCCAAATCTTCACAAAGAGCCATAAAAAGTCTAGTATTCAAAGCACTTTTTTTAACATAATTGACAATTTTTATGCATAATGTTAAAATAGCGTTGAATTCATTTGAAAGTGTCTTGGCCGCCAGGGCTTGTCGGTGTATAAAACAATGAACAGCAATAACATTAGGATTTTTTTCTCTCACCAATTGTACGAAACCTGAGCGAGACCCAAGCATTGTCGGTGCACCATCTGTGCAAACACCCATTAACTTTTGCCACGACAGTTCGTGTTTCGAAAAAAAAATCAGAAACTGCTGTCATTATATCAATTGCTTTTGTGGTAGTCGTTAATTCTGTAGAAAACAACAATTCGTCTTTTATTGTTTCGTTTTGAATGTATCGAACGAAAACTAAAAGTTGACAACATTGTGCTATATCGGTACTCTCATTATTGCATAAAATTTTGATTCATTCACGGCCTCAACTACTTGTTTTTTTATATCTTCAGCCATATCATCAATGCGACGTTTGCAAGTATTGTCAGAGAGGGGTATCTGCGAAAATTTTTGTTTAATTTCTGGTCCCAGAATGATATCAGCTGCTTTTAAAAAGCAAGGTTTAATAAGTGATTCTCCGATAGTATGATGCCATTATGCACACAAAATTTCCCGAAAATTTATCGAGCCGTTTCGAAGGAGTTCAATTACAAACACCGTGACACGAGAATTTTATATATTAGATTAAATCTTACATATTGTAGAAAAATGGACGTAGACTATCACCGCTTCGGAAGGCAACACACGCCTATCGAATCGAAGTAGTAACTTAGTGGTTAAAGTGGCAGATCAAAAACGATGGTATAATTGAAGGTCCTCGATGATGCTCATAATATATTTGATTAACCATGAAGATCGAAAATAATAACTGATAAAAAAGGATATTAAACAACACTACGCAATATTGTCCCGTCAAATCAAACGCGAACACGCTCGTGGTGTCGCGCTTCTTTTTTTTATGTGAAAAAGTCGCAAACGTGTTGGCGGTTCACCTGATGTTAAGTAATAACCACCGCCCATGGACATTTGCAACAGCCGTAGGGTTGCAAATGCGTTGACACCTTTAAATAAGGACCTGGCTACCAGACTAAACGCAGAAGTGTACTTCTACTTTCTTTTAGGTCGTGGTAATTACCCGGACGGACCTGCCCATTCGTGCAACAGTGAAAACTGTTGGGTGGTCCTACCACAGTTAAAAGTGTTCTTTGTAATTGCGCCTTTAACGTATTTTGCTGCTTTGGACAAAAAAGCATAATCTCGAAATCTCTTCCAACGATCTTTGCATAAAAGTTATTATTAAAATATCGAAAACAATATTATTTTATTAGGTCTCCCGGAATGGGAAAATGGATGGTCATAATCGTGTGGGGGACCTAAGTGGATATAAGTGAAAAGATACACTCACTAAGAACGTCAGCAAGTAATCGAGAGTAGCTTCGGTGAATATAGCGACGCTGTTGGGCCCGGCTAGCTTCTCAGCTATGCAGCCGAGAACGACACAGATGTTGCGTTCGACGCGTACGTTCATCTCGCGTGCTGTTGCGCGCTGCGAAGAGAGCCGTAGCAGCTTTGTCACCTAAGAAAATGCGCATTGTTAGGCAGTGGAAAACTTCCTTGCACCATCACAATAAGCCAATCTAGCAATCTCATTCGATTAGCTGGTAAAAACCCATCAGTATACAATGCGATATAAAAAGAAATACTAAATATGTACATTTGAAACCCGCCTGAAGGTGATGATACTCTACTAAGTCGGCCGCAACAAAACAAATAAAAATAAATTCATTAAACCTGGCGTTTACCTACTACTAGGAACTGATATGTATCTACATACCAGTTACTAGTAGTAGGTAATACCTATCTAGGTAGGTAGGTACCTGAACACTACTATGTATATTTCAATATTAGTAATGTAATATATGTATAATGTAAATGTATATTTATATTTCAATATAGAATTATTTACGAAATTATGATATTACCTTAATCACTGCATCCCTGGATGGTAGTGGACAGTCATCAAGGAGGATTGTTATAGCCGACGGCCCAAAAGGATCTTCAAGGGGTATCACATTTACTATTGATGACACCACTTGAATCCAACCTTCCTCTTTGTCAGCTATAACATGTAACTTCACAAGCGACACAGGTGACTCTTCATCGCTAAAATTGAATATGAAAGGTCTACTTTTCATTGTAAGAATAGATACAAAAAGTGAAAACCAAATTGTCAAATATTGTAAATTACACCACAAATAATGCAAGTGCACCGAGCAGTATTAGAATTATCAAAACAATATAAATTTTAATTATTACTGCTTTATATCATTGGTCTAACTTACTTATGTAAGTTAGACAATCACAATTATTTGTGATGGTGAATGGAAATAATGTTCTCCAGGTCAATTTAAGCTTTTACAATATCTATATCTATACTATTATATAAAGAGGAAAGATTTGATTGTTTGTATGTATTGAATAGGCTCCGAAAGTACTGAACCGATTTGAAAAACTCTTTCACTGTTGGGAAGCTACATTATCCCTGCTTGATAAGACTATATTATATTTTCAAAAAAATTAGGGATCCTTACTAAAACTCCAATAATGTACAAAAATAACCTAAAACATTCTTTACATCGCGTGCGCTGCGAAAACTATTGATGATAGAATAAAATAATGTACTACAACTTTGCAGAACACATCATTATTTACAAAAAGTGTCGCGACAACATATGTCTAACTATTATAGTTATGCCACAATAAGTGTTCTTTTATTTTAAAATTTTGATTGAAATGACACCGCTAGAAAAGTCTCTTTATTTGTATCTTGGTATTAATCCTTATAAAAATAAATTACTTCATATTTAAGACTGTTTCAATATCTTTATATAACTTTTTGAATTATTAAATTCGGACATTCCATTCGAAAGATATCACAAGTTTAAAAATGTTATTATATAGTAATTTAACTATCCAAACAGCTTAGTGACTGTTGTAGTAGTTCTTATAATTTTTCAATCACATTTATACTGGTAATTCCTGTTTAACAGTTAGCAAATAATTAAGTAAAAAAGCAGTTTAATTTTTTTTTATCATTTTAAAATGCCCAAAAGATCAAAATCTCATCCCGTCCAGTTCCCGTTCCCAGGCGAGGGCATGAAAAATACGTCGTAATAAGGAATCTTTCCCGGAAAGTGTAAATCGTCTTACAAGTCGGAGAGAGTCAAGTAGAGCGGCTTCAAGAGCAAAATAATATAAATATACAAATTCACACTAGGGAATCGAGCTCTGAGCGTTCCCAACGCCTACGACATTAGAGAGAAAGACAACAAACGTCAACGACTAGAGTTCGTAATCGACTTTTAGCTCACAGTAACAGATCAGCTTTAATGCATTAAGCTCAACAGTCTTCCGTCCAAATCGGAGCCACGATATGATCTGCTCTAAGTGTTCTGCCAAAAATCGGTCGATGAATCAAATGGTATGTATGGCTGTGCTTCTGGAAAAGTTAGTCTCCCCAATGTTGAGGAGCCGCCACAGCCAATAAAATATCTTTTGACAAATAATCATTCACCATCTGGACATTTTTAACCAACATCCGAAAGTCAAATCATCAAATGACTTCGTTTGCGCGAAGTTTTAAAATAGAGTGACACGTATAAAAGTTATCATCATCCTCCTGCCCCTATCCCACCTAGGTGGGGTCGGCACGACATGAATCATGTTGTAAGCGGTTTTGGCTAAATTTTTACGACCAGCCGCTTGCCTGACGTCAACCCTCCCTGGGAAACAAATACCCAGATCAAATTTCAACCGTGTAACTATCACGGTTCATGAGATACAGCCTGTTGACAGAGGGGCAAACAGACAGCGGAGTCTTAGTAATAGGGTCCCGTTTTACCCTTTGGGTACGGAATCCCAAAAAGGCGCCAGACTAAAACACGAGAATGAGTTGCCATGTTTATATAAAGTGGGCCTCGGCTACCCCTCTCACCAGACGAAACGTAGAAGATATACGTAGAAGATAACACTTCTTATTTACGCCGGTCTTCTGTGAGGTCGGTACGGAACCCTTCGTGTGCGAGTTCGACTCGCACCTGGCCGATTTTTATTCAATACATTGTCAATATGATGGCAAAAAGGAATCAGAAAGATTGAATAACGCTTTGAGACGCTATAAATCAAGACATTAGCCCATTAAATATCAACGCGTAATCTGCAACGTCATATTCATTTACAGGTTCTCCGAGCTATCTGAATTAAAAACCAAAGATGCGATGATTTATGACCGAAGCTATGGGAGACCAGACTTATTTGTCACTTTTACGTGTAACCCCGAATGTCCCGTAATTAAAGCGGAACCATTATCTGTTCAGCGGTCTTTCGATCTTCATGACGTAATTTCAAGGGGTAAAAAAGGGTAAAATTATTCACCAAAGACGAAATATTCGAAAGGTTTTATGTGTGTGCATGATAATTTTTAATTTTAAAATTTTGTTAAATACCCTTGCGCAGCCGGGGCGGACCGCTAGTACTGAATAAATGTACTATGAAGGTATTTCAAGCATGTTTTATGCAACTACAAAAGCTAAACAGCTTAAGCTACTTCGTTAAAACAAAATTTGGAATTAAACTAGCATGTAATACTTGCAATACAATTTGCATAAAAATTGTCCCATATCCTATTCTGTTAAATGTAGTGTCACAACAGCTCATTTTATAAGAAATATGCATGTAGATTCAGTTAAAAACACAAAGTAACAATAATATTTTCCATTTTGGTAGTAATTCCATGTGATTTGGTTTGTAGTACCTGATAACAAATTTAAATGGCTACTGTTACTTGTTGGTAATAATACATGTATATAGTAACTTATGAATGTATTAATTTCTTTGTAAAATTTTGACAATTCACAAGAAGGCGCAAGCGTATAGCTAGGTATAAAGATAACTTGTTATTATTATTATTATTATATAAAAATTCAGTACATCATTAATTTCACAGTGGTAGGGCCACGCAGCATCCTGTGGCTGTTGCAGATGGGCACGCTCGTCCGGATAAGTACCACGACCTCACAGAAGACCGGCCGTAAAGTGGAAATATAATAATTTCGCGTTTCGTCTGGTGAGTGAGGTAGCCGGAACCTAATTTTCAAAAAGGTTGTCAACGCATCTGCAAACCCTCGGGAGTAGCAGATATCCATGGGCGGCGGTATTCACTTAACATCAGGTGAACCATCTGCTCATTTGGCAACTTTTCACATTAAAAAAAAATCATATAGAGATATCGCTTGGCTAAAGAATAAAATTGAGCTATTATACTGAGAAAATTATCATATAATTATTCCTTAATATATATTATATCAGTATTATTAATGTAGATGACAAAAGCAAGAATTAATAAAGCTATTGCCAAAACAACATACTGGTAAACAACAGCTTTTTTTTACATTAAGGTTTATTAATTTTACAGGTTCATGTTTAATTATCAATTTTTGGAATGTATAACTAATACAGTAAACTCATAAACTAAGATGTTACTTCTTATTGCTCAAACTATATTTATTACACAGAAATATTGTAATTGTATACTGGTATGATCGCTAAGCAAAACATTCGCAAATGGTATAACAAAAGTTATAAAAGACGACTGATAAACTGGTTATATGAAATTCGCATAACATAATATAATTCCAATTCTAATTCTAGTTTAATGGCTTTATCAATATATAACTTGATGGTTTTATATAATATGACCTATCTCTCAACATTCTATTTCATGACTTACTAAAAGGATTCTTATAAAACCCTACAAGAAGTCGGCAACCTAAATAAACTCTGTGGAACAAAGAATATTGTACTATAGTAAAGTAACAGTCTACACATGCCCCACTGCTGGGCAAAGGCCTCCTCTATACAGAGGGTATCAGGGCATAGTCTACCACACGGCCCCACTGTGGATTGGCGGACTTCACATATCTTCGAAAAAATATTTTTTTTGTTATTATTTCGAAAATATGCAGGTTTCCTCACGGTGTCTTCCTTCACTGCGGAGCATGTAATAAGTCAGCACTTAAAGTTAAAAACTTCATTGGTGCAGGCATTGGGGATCGAACTCAGGTTGCTCGAGTATGTTGAATTAAAGGCAAGCAAACGGACACTGAGCTATCATGGCTTCATTGTAATAATGTTACAACAAAATTTTAAGGGTTGAGTAACAGAATTTCATGATTAACAGGAAGAAGCAAGCCATAATCTTCAAAGTTTTAATATTGTCAAGTACAAGGGCAGCTTTAAACCATAAAGTGAAAAATATCCTTACGATCAAGAGCAACTAAATTTCAGATACTTTTAAATGAGCTGCATGATTTTTTTTAAGTTTTAAGTACAATTCACAAGAGCAGCAATATTAATTTTCTATGTTATCCGTCTTGCTCTATTATCCGGTATTCTAACCTTAATATGCCGCATTCCCCACTAAACAAAAAACAAGATAGTGACTATTTATAAAAGTAGTAATTTAAATATTTCATAATTAAAAGTAACCAGAAATATTACAGATATCAACCAGGAGAACATGATTTCACATAGTTAAAAATATGACAAAATACTATAATTTTACTTACTTATCAACAAAAGATGCTATAATCCCAAGCATCTCCAGTACAAGTTGATCGACAATTGTTGTGTCGACAACTTTGTGGTTTCTTGCCCGAGGCTGATCGGGTGTTATGACTTGGGGCCATTCTGATGACTGCGAAGGTGCATAGGCTTCGACTTCCTCACCTGTGCCCTCTTTACACAAGCAGGCCCCCATGACCTAAACAGTAATAGTGTTCTATTAGATCACAGAATAAGTAAAAATATGTAATTTGTATTATGTTATACCTACAGATTTTTATTCCATTTAGACAATGATATTAAAAATCACTACCTTAGAATTTGATGGTTTATAAAAAACAATAGCTGATTACTGTATGCAAATATCCTTGAAGAGTAATGAATATAAACTCCAAATTGATTTTTCGGATTCTGCGCCGTCGTCCATTACAAGATAGTATCAAGTTATATCTACATATATTCTAAGAAGAAGCAGGGTAAGGCTTAATAAGTTGTCGATAATTTCAATGCCCACGCACTTTATATTTAGACATACTAAGGGATGAGATTGTTGAGGTTGATAAAGCTTCCTAAGAAGGAACAGACTATTTCAAAAGTTGACTATAATCATAAAATATTAAATAAAGAGATAATTTTGCAAAATTTGTTAAAATAAATCATAATAAAAAAAAGTCTCACCGTACCTCCTAACTCATCTCTGTCCGGTTTCACACTAAGCACCCGAACTCTAACGAACAGCGCAGAAATCGCTAGTATTGATTTTCCCGATACAAGATTTTAATTTTATAAATACACTGAAGCTGCAAACAGTATCATGCTCCCGGCTCTTATCCGATAACCGATACCCACTCACTCACTCTAACGCGCAAGACACTCAATGCCCGCGGCTCATGCGCGCTGTGCTTTTGTAAGATACAAAGAAATGCAGTGTTGCCATACTATATTGCGTAGAAATAGAAATAAATCGATAACTTATTCTTGTTGCAAGTGACAATTAAAATATACTTATTTTGAACGGTAACACAAGAATAAGGATATTCTGAAATTGATTTCAATTTAAATATTGTTGCAACTAAGACTCCTTTGAAAATATATTATTCATTTTTTGAAACAATATTAATGAAATACTTTCCGATACTGTTGATATATTATCTATTAAATATCTAAAACAGCCTCCGAATAGTCGTCGAAGGCTGTTCATCCGAGCCACTGACAATAAATGCCGAAGTTTAACTTTGGACTTTAAAACCTAAATCCGCCCCGGGCCCAGATAATATTAGTAACAAAATTCATAAAGCTTTCCCTGGGCCGCTTATCTGTTTACTAGCGACCATTTACAACACTCTACTCTCCAGTTGCACCTTTCTGGACGACTGGAAAGAAGTCACGGTTGTCGGCATCCGCAAGCTGAATAAACCAAAGCTAGATAATATGTCAATCAGCCCTATAGTTAGCGTCCCATTAGCCTCCTCAGTTGCTTGGAGAAGCTCTACGAGCGGCTTCTATTGAACAGGCTCAAAGAGCACGTGTTTTCCACCAGCCTTCTGCCGGCGGAACAATTCGGTTTTCGAGCTAGACATTCCTGTCTCGATCAACTAAATTATACCATCTAACGGAACATATCCTAAAAGGCCTAAATCACCCTAAACATTTATTAATATAACATTAGCACGGGGGCTCTTTTCTTCGATGTCGCAAAAGCATTCGAAAAGGTCTGGCACAACGGCTTGCTTTACAAGCTGTACCCACTCAAAGTGCCAGATAGGCTCGTACACACCATCCGGGTCTTCCTGTTAAATCGCTCTTTTCGATATCGAGTCGAGGGAACCCTCTCCACAAGCCGCGCGTTCCACAAGGTTCCTGCTTCTCACCTTTGCTCTACGTTTTACACGAGCGACATACCAAAAGACCCCCACGTCAATCTCGCGCTTTTCGCAGATGAAACGGAGCTCTTTTATTCAGACCGAAACCTCAGTCAATTAACCACTCGACTCCGAAGCGCCGCCAACCGCCTCGGCGATTGGTTCCGCAAATGGAGAATAGAAGTAAATCCCGAAAAGAGTGTGGCGATTCACTTCACACGAAGTACTTGCCCTTCATATCTTTATAAAGGCCCTCGCCAATGCAGAAAGTTGGGGCAAATAGCCCTTTATGGCCAACCGCTCCCTTGGGACAAAAAAGTCAAATACTTAGGAGTCACTTTCGACTCGCGTATGTCATTTACTACGCACATTAAAAACGTTCGTAATAGAGCCGCGTCTCCGGCCGGCTACACAACTTAACTAACAGATGTCAGATGAAGCTTTAATAGTCTCGGGACTGAAAGCAAAATCATCAGTTACTACAAGATACAAGAATTTATGCACAAGTATATTGTGTGTTACAAACGCATTGTACATGAGAATAAAATGCAATAGCAAGTACCTTTAAAATTACTAGTTTGAAATTCCCGATTTGAATTTGTATTGAAATTAAGAGCATTCTGTCATCTGTGTTCATTCATTGTTGTTGTTATTGATTTTTTTTGTTATGATTTTAATGTTGAAAGTTTAGCCTTTAATACAAGAAATTGTTGAAAATGAGTGCTCGCCAGGTAAAAATATGTGTGATTTAAGTTGAGTGTACTGTATCGTCCAAAATGTAAAACATGAGTTACCACTTTTATATAACGAGTGCTATATGCGTAGTAATGGCAGATTTCTTTAGTGAAAATAACAAGATTTGTTTTAAACTCAATTTTAAACAGTATCTCCCCTCTATGTATCAGCCTTGGAGTTTTTAACAGCTATCATGTAATGTGGGGTTGAAGTTTTTAATAAATTCAACCTTTGCCTCCTCAATGATGGCTCTCCCACAAGAATGACCTATCCCTCCTATAACACTAAATCAGCCGTGGACCTATAACTGTGTCCATCTAACCTAGCTACTAGCATAACCTGGAAAACTCTCTCTTCAACCTTTGGCAGTGATCACGAGACGAAGCTCTCAGGGTTGGATAAACACCGAGATCTTCTGCGACATCATACTAGACGAGCTTTGCGGTGCTCAAAGAGTGGCCTTCAATTGCGTAAGCTGTCTCGAAAATTTAAAGATAAGTGGTGGCAAGACAAAGCTTGTCATATCCAGTGGCGTGCTGACACAAACCAGCTTGGGGAGTTCTACAGTGAGTTACGTAAACTGATCTGAACACATCCTACCGAGTTAAAGTGCCCTTGAGGTCTTCAGTCGGAACACACTTACTAACAAGCAAGGAGGATGTACTAAAGCGTTGGGCCGAACATTTCAATACATTGCTCAACGTAGATCGATTAGCGGATCTTCAGAATATTAGTTTGATGCCTCAACTCCCCCTAGCCACTGAGCTGGACCAACCTCTGTTGCGTGACGAGGTTGTCATTGCCATAAGACAGCAACAAAACCAAAGGGCGGCTGGCATTGACCTTATACCAGGTGAGCTACTTAAGTACGACGGTGAGGAGTTGCACACTTTGGTGTGGGAACTATTTGTTCGTATGTGGGAGGAAGAACAAGTCCCGGATGATTTCAAAGTGTCGCGCATAATTGCTTTTTACAAGAACAAGGATTATCGCTCCGACTGCAACTCGCACCGCGGTATTTCGCTTCTGACTGCTCCCGGAAAGGTCTTTGCAAGAGTCCTTTCAAACCGCCTGAAGCTTTTATCGGAAAAGATTGTGCCTGAAACCCAGTTTGGCTTCCGGCCTGACCGAGGCAACTTTGAAGCTATCTTCTCTGTACGTCAACTCCAAGAAAAAAGTACAGAGTAGGGACGTCATTTATATCACTGCTTTGTGGACTTAGAGAAAGCTAGGAAGGCTGGGGTGTACGGGAAAGTTTGTGAGGCTTCTGAGACTTTTGCATGACGATATGCAATGCTGCGTCTCATTAGATGGTGAACAGTCAGATTTTTTCCCCGTTACTTGTGGAGTGAAACAAGGGTGTGTCTTAGCGCTCACACTATTTGCCATTTATTTTGCAGTCGTTGTCAGAGAAGTCTTACAAACGGTTCCCGAAAGAGTTCGCATCCGCTTCCGAACAGATGGCAGTCTTTGCAACTTGGCCAGACTTTAGGCGCGCACCAAATCAACACATAGTAATCAGCATACATAATCTCTGTAATTAATGCTCGTATGCATTAATTACAGAGATTATGTATGCTGATGACTTGTGCTTTTTAGCAGAATCCCCACAAGGCCTACAAAAGCTGATGTCTGTCCTCCACCAAGCATGCTGTAAGTTTGGTCTGAAGATTAGTGTCAAAAAGACGGAGGTGATGTCCTTGGACACACATGGTCGTGAGACACTAACTATTAAGCTTGGTGAGGATGTGTTGAATCAGGTCGATAAGTTTAGATATCTGGGTAGCACTATAAAATCTAACTGTGACCTTGACGCTGAAATCAACAGCAGGATCAGTGCTGCAGCTGCCACATTTGGTAAGCTACATTCTTTTCAAGCTCATTTAAAGTCTTCTGCTCGCACGACCTTAAGCTGGTAACAAAAATCTCAGTTTACATGGCGATTGTGCTGCCAAGCCTCTTATATTCCTCCGAGAAATGGTGTGTGTATGCCTTCGTACCATCATCAAGATCAGATGGTTCAACCGAGTCCGTAATACTGACGTGACGAGCAAATGTCGGTGGCATTGAGGCCTATTTAATGCGTCGGCAGCTTCGGTGGTGCGGTCGTGTCTCGCGTATGGCGGAGGAATGAGTGGCGAAACGCATATTTTACTCTGAACTAGAGGAGGGGAAGCGGAAACATGGCGTTCAACTCCTCAGATACAAAGATGTTCAGAAACGACATATGAAGAGATGCAACATAGTGCCCTCAAATTGGGAGGTTTTGGCAGCATAGCGTCCGGATTGGCGCGGAATTGTGAAGAGCCGTATCCGCGAGTTTGAAGATCAGCGTAAGGCTGACCTCGATGCTAAGTGCGATGACCTAAAGGCCCGTCCAGCCGCCACCATTATTTATAACTATGTAGGCGGCGTACTCACCTGCCCTCACTGTGCAAGA